CCTGGCTATGCTGAAACTCACTCTATAGACCTCAGGTTGGCCTCGAACTTGGAGATCCACCTGCCTCCGCCTCTCTAGTGCTGGGATTAAAGGCGTGCTCCACCACTGCCCAGCTCCCTCTTTATTTTCTTTTACTCTTATACTTCACCTTTTAAAGTGTGTGTGTGTCTGTGTGTGAATGTGTGGATGTGGGTGTCTGTGTGTGAATGTGTGAATGTGTGTGTCTGTGTGTGGATGTGTGTGTCTGTGTGTATGCATGTGTGGATGTGGGTGTCTGTGTGTATGCATGTGTGAATGTGGGTGTCTGTGTGTATGCATGTGTGAATGTGGGTGTCTGTGTGCTCATGTGTGTGTGTGTGTGTACAGTGTGGCAGTGCAGTGCAGGAGTCCTATGGTGCGTATGTGAAGGTCAGAGGAGGACATGCTTGTACAGCCTGTTTTCTCTGTCCACCTTTATGTGAGTTCTGGGGATTGACCCAGAGCTTTTTCTCTGTCACACACACTCACCGACTCCGGGTTCTTGACAAAGACCTTGGTGCTCCCCATCTGGTACTGGTCTGGCTCCATGTTGACTGCACGAAGCAGGTGCTGGACACCCTGGCGTTCATCTCCACGCCACCGTGGCCATGTCTCAGGGGTCAGAATGGCATACCTGCAGGCAGAAGACATGAGGGTGTGGGGGATTTGGAGCAGACCTGAGGTTGGCCATTTTAACAGGTGAGGTAATCAAGGCAAGGAAGATGGGTGCCTCACCTCTGCAGGAACTTGGAGAACTGCCGACGGTAGGCAAAGCCTGCCCTGCGCACCCGGATGTTTTCCCGTAGGCCCAGGTACTCCACCTGGTGCTTCACCCTGTGGGAGGGAGGTAGCCTAAGTTCCAGAGAGTGGGAGCTGCCCAAAGCAGACCAAGGGGGTGGGGCCTGGGTTTGTGGTAGAGGCATCTCATGGATCGGTCAGTCAGTCTGTCTATTATATCTATCTGTCTGTCTGTCTGTCTGTCTGTCTGTCTGTCTATCAGCTATGCATTTCTCTATCAATATACGTTGTCTATTTTTTATTACCTATCTATACCTGTCATCTGCCTATCTATGGCCTATCTATTGTCTACATATCTGACTGTCTATCTATATGTCTGTTTGTCTGTCTGTGGCTAGTGTTGCTCTGTGCAGCCTAGGTTTCCCTTGAATATGAGATCCTCTAGCTTCTACTTCCCAAGGCTGAGAAAAGAATACATGAGCCACCATGTGAAGCTTGGGCATGGTTTAGACGGTGTCTCAGCTCAATCTGGGAACCAAATCTTGGACTGAGACCTGAGGGGTAGGTCTGGGCTCATCTTGGGGGTTGGTTCTAGAATCAGTTCTGGAGTTTAGGTCTGAGAAATTGGGTTTGGATTCTCTTACAGTCTGTCTGGGGTTACCTGGGGATGGTGGGGGTGCCTCCATCAGTTCTATCTATAACTCTGGGGCCATAGAGGTTTTACATTCTTAAAGTTTATTTTTATTGGTGTGTGTGCGCGTGTCACAGGTCACAGTATGCATGTGGCCATCAAAGAAGAACTTGCAGGTGTTGACTCATTCCTTCCATTGTGTGGAGCCCAGGATTGAATCCAGATCATCAGGTGTGGCAGCAAACACTCTCACCTGCTGTGTGCCTCACTGGCCCCTAGAGGATTCTAAGGTGGTCTTAGAGTGAGGGGTCCTAAAGTTGGTGCTTTGTCTGTGGGTCAGAGTGGCTGCTCCAAAGCATGCCTAGATTTGGTACCAGATGCAAAGGAGGGGTCAGTTCACCTGCTCTCCTCCCAGTCCCGGGGCCGCTTGGTCTCATTGGGTTTGATGCAGCGGATATAGTGGGGTGTGCACTTCTTCAGTGTGGACACCAGGTCATTGGCTTGTTTCTGAGGCAGAGGGAAAGGCAGAAGTCAGAAAGGCTTGAGGATAGGCCCCCTGACTCTTCCTGTTGAAGAAACAACTCATCCAAGAGCGGGGAGGCTGAGCGGGCAGGCCACAGTGCGCACACTGCCCTAAGTACCCACCATGAAGGCTGATATTGTGCACCTACCCAGTTATTTAGTTCTAGTGTCTGCCACACTTACCACATAGCTTAAGACATAATAAGGGTTTAGGAGATGTTTGATGACTGAGTAATAGAAAAACCAGAACAACTCACTGCCCAGACTTTCTGCTTGTCTTTAAGGAGACAGCTACTTTGGAAATAAAGAATTTGCAGGTGGGGTGGGGTGGACAGGTCAGCCTTGGGTTTTGGGGTAATTAGTCATCAAGAGAAAGCTGTGGGGCCAAGTGATGACTAGGGGAGGTGAGATGAGATATTCAGGTTCAAACTCTACTGTGTGACCCATGGCTGCCCCTTTCTGATCCGTGGCATCTCCATCAGCATGTATGTGTGTATGTGTCCTGCATCTGCTATCATCCCAAAGTCTCAACCAACGGTTGTGAACGCAGGCTTTCGGTGGGGCCACAGGGTCTCGGCAGCATTATTCACCCTCACAGAAGGCAGACCCAGCCCTTCTGCACGGTGAATGTGTGGTAATCCACACAGCGGGATTTTATTTAGGAAGGGCTAGCCAGGTGGTGGTGCACGCGCCTTTAATCCTAGCACTTGGGAGCCAGAGGCAGGTGAATATCTGTGAGTTCAACACCAGCCTGGCCTACAGAGTGAGTTCCATGACAGCAAAGGTTGTTACACGAGAAACCCTGTCTCAAAAAACTAAACAAAGAAGAAGGAGGAGGAGAAGGAGGGGGGAGAGGAAGAAGGAGGAGGAGGAGGAGCACGGGGACAAAGAAGTGGACGAAGAAGAAGGAGAAGGAGGGAGGAGGGAGAAGGAGGAGAAGGAGGGAGAAGGAGAAGGAGGGGGAGGAGGGGGGAAGAGGAGGAGAAGAAGAAGAAGGAAAAAGAAGAAGAAGAAGAAGGGCCAGGGTCTGGGTTTGGAAAGATGAGAAACTTTGGAGATGGCTGTGAAATAGCCAATGTCACTGAACTGCACACTTAAAATGGGTAAGCTAGCCCAGTCTATTATGTGTGTGTGTGTAACTTTTAAAAGAGGTGGTCTGGGAAGTGTTGTCCAAGGATAGCATGCTTAGCATGTGCAAGACCTTGGGTTCTGTTCCCAAGCACAGGAGGAAGGGAGGGAGGGAAGATGGAGGCACAGAAAGAGGGAAAAGAGCCAGACAAGGGTGGGGAGGGAAAGTTAGAAGGTAGAGGATAGGGAGGTAGGGGGTTAGGAAGGGAGGGCAGAGAAAGGGGGAAAGATGGGCAGTGAAGGAAAGAGGGAGAGGAAGAACAGAGACAGGGAGGGAAATGAAGGAGAGAAGGAAGAAAAGGAAGGACAGATGGACCAAGCTTTAGCCCATCTTCCTTCTTACAGAGCTGAAGGAAGACTGTAGGTCAAAGGGTGCCACAGACATTGAGAACCCAAGCGGTAGGGAACAGACAGACGTTTGAACAAGGAGAGAAAGAGTCTTGGCAAGCAGAACTTGCCTTTCCTGTCCCCTCCCTGCCACCAGACTCACCTTGATCTTGGAGCCAGCAGTACTGGGGCGGCCCTTCTTGTCTGTGTCTAGCTTCTCAGGAAAGAGCATCCGTAGGAAGGCTCTAGGAGGAGAGAGGAGTGGATGGTAATGAAGATAGACCCTGGGACATTGTCCTCAGAGTTGTAATGGTTGCCTCAGTGCCAAGATGCAAATAGGGTTCCCTGGTGTAGGAGGTCTTTCTGTATTTCTGTTGCTTTCATTGGTTAAATAAAGAAGCTGCCTTGGCTTTTTGATAGGCCAGCCATTAGATGGGCATGGTAGACAGAACAGAATTCTGGGAGGAAGAAAGCAGTGTGGCAGACGCCATGGCTCTCCTCTCCAAGAAGGACACTGGTTAGACTCATGCCTGGAAGCCACAGTCAAGTGGCAATACACACTAATGGAGATGGGTTAAACGAATATGTGAGAATTAGCCAATAAGAGGTTAGACCTAATGGGCCAGGCAGTGTTTAAATGAATACAATTTGTGTGTGGTTATTTCGGGGGTTAAGCTAGCCGGGTGGCGGTAAGCAGCCTGCCGCTCCCCATTTGCAACAGTTCCCCCTGAATGTGGGCAGAGGCTGTGAGGCTGGCAGTGTTTCTTGGGTCTTTGGATTTATCTGCATTTTTTAGTCTTACTCTATGATAATGACAAGTCCCTTGGTATGTTAAATACAACAGGAACATGTGCATAATGTGGGGTGCACACTGCCACCCCAGCACTTAGGAGCTTCAAGGCCAGCATGGGCTATATGAGACTCTTTTTTTCTTGTGACTTGGTCTTTCTACATAGCCCTGGCTGTGCTCTGTCCTGGAACTCACTATATAGACCAGGCTGGCCTCAAACTCATGGAGATCTACTTGCCCTTGTCTCCCAAGCGCGGGGATTAGAAGCATGTACCATCATGTATGGCATAAGAGAGAACCCTGTTGTAAAACAACAAACAGGGGGCTGTGGTATGGATTCGTTGGTAGGTGGTTGCTTTGCCTAATACAGCTCTGGATTCTGTCTTCAGCACCACATAGGCCAAGCACAGCCACACATGGCAATAGTTTGAGTTCTGAGGAGGCGGAGGCTGACCTCTAAAAGTGAGTTGACGATCACAAGTTACCCTCCAAGTGCTGGCATGGTCTTCTGAGGTACCCTTGATGGAATCAAGGACTTCCTGTATTTTAGGCAAGAAATCTACCATCTGAGCTACACCCCATGTCCCTCTCCTTTTGAGGCAGGGTCCATGGAGCCCAGGATGGCCCTGAACGCACCTCCCACCTCCACCTCCTGAGTGCACAGCTGTGTCTAGTTTTACAGTCCTGGGAGGGAACCCAGGACGTGCCTAGCATACCGACTGAGTCCCCACCCCTGGAATGTGTTTTCATTTTGCTTGACAAGCGACTAACTAGTCACCGACTGTTAGGACTGCGAGCGGCTAACTAACTAGCCACCGGACTGTTAGGACTGCGAGCGGCTAACTAACTAGTCACCGACTGTTAGGACTGCGAGCGGCTAACTAACTAGTCACCGGACTGTTAGGACTGTGAGGAGTTCTACCGATGAGACATGAAGGGAACTGAACTCAGGGCTTCCCCTGGGGAGGGACCTTCTGTCAGTAGATCAAGGTTTGGAAGTTTCTTTTCTTTGCCTTTTTTCTGTCCTAGAACTGGAGTTCAAGCTCCCACACTCTGGGGAGGGGGGGATCACTCATCCTGAGTTACACCCTCAGAGCTTTAGATTAGAACTGTATCTTGACCACACAACCAGGGACACAAAGCCCACGGCACGACCAAGTTCTGGAGAAGACACAGCAGTTCCCAGGCTGTCATCCTTCTGAGGGTCTGCCCAGAGGCTGCACAAGGATTACTCACTGGTCACTGGACTGCATCAGTTCTATAAGGTCAGAGAACAGGACGTCTCGATTCCTCTCACAGAAGCCACTGACGTCATAGGAGACCTGGAGGGAGACAGCACTGAGGGTCGTGTGCGGATGTCAGGGCAGGTGGGATGACTGGAGCTACGTGCAGTTAGGAAAACATCTGTGATCCCAATGGTAGGGTGTGACCTACTGTTTGGGGCCTGGCTCCCCAGAAGTCTGATGCTCAACTGAAGCGGAAGGATGAAGGCTGGAGCTGGAGGTAAGGGGAGACACGGGGTTGAGTGCCAGGGCTGAAGTTTTGGTCAGTGGCAGGGGAAGGTGGGAAGTTATAGGCCAAACTCAGGGGAAGGGGATTGAAACTAGGCCAGGTCCCTAGGCGCTACCAGGGAGATTAGGCTGTTTATCTGTCCTAGCATGTGTGGGGGCCTAGAGTGGATGTGGGCTGTCTTCAACAATGATTCTCCACCTTTTTTTTTGTTTTTGTTTTTGTTTTGAGACAGGGTTTCTCACTGAACCTAGAACTTGCTGATTGACTAACCTGGCTGGCCAACAAGTCCAGGGTCTCCTGTCTCCAGGCTGCCAGTGCTGGAGCAAGCCACTGGGTCTGGATTTGATGGGGTGCTGGGCATCTAGACGCGGGGCCTCATGCTTGCATTCATTGGTCCATTTCCTTAGCTCCCAGAATATTTTTTATTGTTTATTTACTTTTTGATACAGGATCTCACTGTGTAGCCCAGCTGTAGATCAGGATGGCCTTGAATTCACAGAGATCTGACTACCTTTGCCTCTGGGATGCTGGAGTTAAAGGCGTGAGCCACCATGATGGGCTATATATATGGTTTTGGCTTCTTTTTTCTCTTTTCTATCTTTTCTTTTCTTTCTTTCCTTCCTTTTTTCTTTTTCTTCCTTCTGTCTCTTTCTTTGAGACAGGGTCTCAGGAGGTTCTACATAGCTAAGGATGGCCCTGAACCCCTTCTCTTTCGGCTTCCACTTCCCAAGTGCTGGGACTAGAGATGTGTGGCCATCTTGAGACCACAGTGGATTTTGGGGAAAGGAGCTTCAGTCCTGAGGGTGGGCTGGGGTGGCTGTTTTGAGTGAGATTTTTTTAGTGGTTTTGCTCTTGACGTTTGCAGCTTTAGCTGAGGAACACAGATAATGCCTCTGAGGACAGAGGTTGTGGGAACAGCCAGGAAACTCTTGGAGAGGTGTCGATAGCTTGGGTCAGAAACTAGGGCGTGCCTGTAGCCTCATGTAGGGCTGAGGCAAACAGGCTCCAGCCCATTTTGTTTGTAAAGGGTTTGGGGAACTAGGGGTTGTGTTTCCGTCAGAGGATTATATTGAGCGCTGGCTATGTGTGTCAGCATAGAAGAACCGTGGTGATTGTTGTCCCAGTTGGGTTCCACCTGTCTTGTCAGTTAGGAGCTGCCTGTTAACTGGGTAAACTGATTAGAGGCCGTGTGTGTCTGCAGCCCTGGCTGAGTGGACACAAGGTAGGTGTCCAGGTAATTTAGGAGAAAGTTCCTGGTTCTGGTCAGCAGGGGGTGCTCTGGAGGGGGAGCTTGGTCACGGGGCGGGGGTAGGATTTACAATCGGTAACCCCTGGGATTTGTGAGGGGGCGCCCACCCAGGGAGTTCCACGCACTTTGCCTGCGTAGTGATGGATGACGAAACCCGAGCTCCAGCTGTTGAAGTGCTCGTGGGTGCCCACTGCAGCTTGCAGCTTTTGCAGCAGCGTCTGGTCCGCGCCACCGCCAGTTGCATGCATCGTGGCGCACACGTCATCTAGCACGCTCATGATGCCTGGGGGGTTCTGAGGGGAGCAGAGGTTCGGCTCAGCCTGGCTGGGGTCCTCCCGGGAGAGCTGGGAGGCTGGTAGGGGACTCCTAAATACAAGCTCAAATTGTGATCTTTCCTCTTTCTCCTTCCCTCCCCTCTGCCCTCCCCTCTGCCCCACCACCCATCTTTCCTCTCTTCTCCTGTCCTCCCCCTTCTGGAGTTCAGGGAATCCATGCCTTTTCTACTAACACCACACTGGTATAACTTGGGGGGATCTCCGTTAGTCTGAAAATGTTACGTATGGGAGTGTTTGCTGAAAGGTGGACAGAAGAATCAATGGATGGGGTGGCTGGAAGATTCTCCCTCCTAAAGTCACCCAGGCCTCACCAGCTTGTTTTCAATGAGGTCACACACGACTTTGTTGTTGAAGTACTCGATGGGGGTCCAGCGGATGCCCTCTTGCACATACTCCTCCTGGGGGTGCAGTAAGGCAATGAGCCACCTGCCCGGCTACCCCCACTCCCATCTTGTCACTCATCCTCGGGAGCTGTAAATACCTGGAACCCTCATTCCTTTCCTAGGCCAACTCTGTGGTGTTTTGTGACACCTTCTCTGGGACTCAGCAGAATCAGGGACCAGTTGCAAACACAACCTGCTCAGGAAGACCTCTTTGGGCTTTGGACTCTATTTTTTATTTTTTGAGACGGGTCTCATGTAGCTCAGGCTGCCCCTAACTCAGTATGTAACCATCTGACTCCTCTTGCACCCCCGCCTCCTGAGTGCTGAGTGCTGGGGTGACCACTGTACACCTTCACACCTGGTGTATCTTGTTTTGGGGATGGAACCCAGGGCTTTGTGTGTGGGAGGCCAGCCATTCTACCCACTGAGCTACATCCCCAGCCTAAGGACCTTTTAAAGTTTACTTTAAATCACCTTTTCGTTGCTCTTTCTTTTTGCCTCAGGCTGTGCATTTAAAAGAGAGGCGAAATCAAAGCATATTTGTTTTCCTTTTCAGATGCTGGAGTTGGAACCCAGCAAGCTAAACTGGTCTCCTACTCATCACATATTACATACATGCTCAAGAGGCCTCGACAGAGATTCCGTGTTGTCCCCACTCCGCTACGCATGTGTCAACAGTACCTGGCACAGAGCACTTGCTTAAACAACTGTCTTCTTCTTTCTTTCTTTCTTTCTTTCTTTCTTTCTTTCTTTCTTTCTTTCTTTCTTTCTTTCTTTCTTTCCTTTCTTTTTATTTTGAGACAGGATCTCCCTGTGTAGCCCTGGCTGTCTTAGAACTCTTTAGATCACAGAGATTCACCTGCCTCTCCCTTGTGAGTGAGTGTTGGGATTAAAGTTGTTCACTGCTACACCCAGCTCTATTTTCCAAGATGGGGTCTCACTAGACATTCCTGCACCAGCTTCCTGAGTCTGTCCAGCTGGGGGTGGCTTCATGCATGCTCTCCACCAACTGAGCCACAACCTCAGCCTCCCTTTTCTCTTTATAAACTGATTATGTCTGGTATTTTGTTATAGTAACAGTAAACAGAGAGAGGTGAAGTCATGTCTCCTATCACTTGACTGCCCAGCCCACCTGTTCCGCCTTCAGGGTGAGCTCAATAAAAATCTGCTGTAACTTCTCATTGACGAAGTTGATGCAGAACTGCTCAAAGCCATTTTTCTGCAGAGGAAAGAAAAGGACCTTTCTGTTAGTGGACTCTGCTGACACTGGGTGACCCCAGGACGATAGCTAGAATAGGGTTGGGCTGAAGATGGGAGGGGGGAGGTCCCAGGCCAAACCTGGAAGATCTCAAAGCCGTAGATGTCAAGGACACCGATGCTGTACTCTTCCTGAGGCTTCTGCATGGCACGGTTGATGGCCTACGGGCAGATGGGGACAGGGCCGGCAGTCATCACCCTCTTGTTATGTTTTGGAAACTGCTTTTTTCTAATGTGTGTGTGTGTATTGTGTGCACATATGTGCGTGGAGACCAGGGGAGGGTACTCGGTGCCCTTTACCATACCCTATGTTATTCCTTCGAGACAGGGTCTTTCTCTAACCCTGGAGTGAGGCCGGCAGTCAGCAACCCCGGCAATCTTCCTGTCCCTACTCCCTTATAGTACTGGGCTGTGGTTATTATATGGGTGCTGGAATCTGAACTCAGTTTGACATAAATAGTGTGTGTGTGCGTGTGTGTGTGCGCATGTGTGTGCGTGTGTGCGCGCGCATGTGTGTGCATGCTAGGGCATGTGTGTAGAGGTCAGAGGACAATTTCAGGTGTCCATTATCCACTTCTATCACGTGGGTCATGGGGCTAGAACTCATTGTTAGGTTTGGCAGCAAATGCCTTTCCTAGCCACCTTGTCAGTGTGTTTCTAGCTAAACTTGTGACTCTGTCCCCTCTTGACAGATTTTCTCTAATATTTAACTCCTACCTGCAAACCCAAGTGCAGAAGTATCACAATTCTTGACTTTGGAGTCAAATATTCCCACTGTACCTCAAGTTTCTCATCTCTAAAATGGATTGATAGCTGCACATGGTGGCTAGAGACTATAATCCTAGCACTCAGGAAGCTGAGGTAGAAGGACTTGTGAGCGCCAGGCCAGCCTGAGCTGGAGCATGGGTTCCAGGACAGGCTGGGGTACAGGGCAGGAGCTTGCCTTAAAGTCAAATATCTGAAGGACTGGGAAGGTGGCTCTCTTCTAGAGGACACAAGTTCCATACCCAGCACCCACAGCCACCTGACATGACAGTTCCAGAGAATCTGACGTACCATGTGGGCATCTGCACATATATGTCTTACATTCACTCCGGTCCAGCCTGGATTACTGGAGACCCTGTCTCAGACAGACAGACAGACACACACACGTAATAGCAGTAGGGTACTTTGCATAGTACACTTTAATCCCTGGATTCCATCTCCATTACCACAAAATTAATTAATTAAAAGGCATTGAACTTTGATGATATGTGATCGGAAATGTTTAGAGCAAGAAGTGTTTTGCATTTCGGTTCTGAGAAACAAGCAATATTTGGAGCATGAGGTCAAATTTTGTTTGTTTGTTTATTGTTGGAGATAAGGTCACTCTATGTTGCGCTGGTAGTCCTGGAACTCACTATGTAGATCAGGTTGCCCTCCCCGAGATCTGTCTGCTTCTGCCTCCTGTGTGGTGGTCTTAAAGCTGTGTTCCATCATGCCCAGCAAGACCCAAGTTTAAACCTGACATTCACTTACACTTCATATGTACTTTATATACTAATTTTAGTGCACTTTTTTTGCTTTAAAGATTTATTTATTTAAGAAAAGATTTATTTGTTTTTATGTTATGTGTATGGGTGTTTTGTCTACATGAATGACTGTGCCCAACATACATGCAGTTCAAGAAGAGGCCAGAAGAGGGCGAATGATCCCCTGGAACTGGAGTTACAGGTGATTGTGAGCCAACGTGTGGATGCTGCTTATTGAACCTGGTTTCTACAAGAGCAGTCCTCCCCCCCTCTCAGTTTTTTGAGACAGGGTTTCACTGTGTAGCTCTGGCTGTCCTAGAACTAGTTCTCTAGACCACAGAGAGCCACTCACCTCTTCTTCCTGGGTGCTAAGATTAAGGGCGTGCACTGCCACCGCCTGGCGCTCTCTCTCTCTCTCTCTCTCTCTCTCTCTCTCTCTCTCTCTCTCTCTTTTTAAAAAGATTTATTTATTTATCATGTATACAACATTTTGCCTCCATGTATGCCCCCACACCAGAGGAGAGCGCCAGATCTCATTACAGGTGGTTGTGAGCCACCATGTGGTTGCTGGGAATTGAACTCAGGACCTTTAGAAGAGCAGCCAGTGCTCTCAACCTCTGAGCCGTCTCTCCAGCCCCGCCTGGCTCTCTCTTAACTGTTGAGTTATAGCTGGGTTTTAGCTGAGAGCCACACATGGGATCAGAGACAGAATTTTCCACTTCTAGTTTTATGTTGGTGTTCAAAAGTTTGGAATTTCGAAGTATTTTTGCATTTTGGGATTTTCAAACTAGAGATGTTCAACCTATACTTCATAGGAACTTTCCCCCCTCCTTTCTCATGTGTGTATATGTGTTCACGCATGCATGCGTGTGTATATTTGCATGAATTTTATCACTGAAAACTTTGCAACTTTATGGAATTTAAAAAATGTACATTAAAAAGTTGCTTTACATACTTAATATACTGTGAAGGAGGCTTGGCATATAATTTTGTGTGTGAGTTTGTGTTTGTGCAAAAGCGTGTGTGTATGTGTTCAGGTGTGCATATATACATACACACATATACATACACACATACACATATACATACTTACATATATACACACAACACACATATACATACATAGATATGTAATACATACACATATACATACATATATACACATACATATACACACACGCACATACATACACACATACATACATGCATACATACACATTTGTGTGCATGTGGGGCTAGAGAACAGCAGTCCTTGGGTGCTGTTTCTCAGGTATCTTGGTTTTTGTTTTTAGCTTTTCATTTGATACAGGCTCTCTTTGAAGTCTGGAACTCTCTAAGTAGGCGAGGCTGGACAACAGGGACCTGCCTCTTTCTGCCTCCCAGCTCTAAGACTATAAATGCATCATGTCTGGCTTAATAGTTTTTGAAATCACATTTTATTTATTAGAGGGAGAGGGAGAGAAAGAGAGAGGTGCACACTTGCGTGCCATAGCAGCCTTGGTGAGACATTCACTCCTTTATCCACTGAGTCCTCAGCTTCATGCCTGGCTTTTTTTTTTTTTTTTTAATTGTATAAAAGTGCTGGGCTGAGAAGAAGGCTCAGTAGGTAAAGATGCTTGCTGACAGCAGATGATGTGAGCCTGATCTCAGGAACCCATATGGGGGAAGGAGAGCACTGGGCCCCTCAAGTCAACCTCTAACACCCACACACGTGTTGCAGCATGAACACACACACATGCACACAAAGTAAAGAAATAAATGTAATCCATTTGAGTATGGGTCTGGAGACAGAACTCATGTCCCCATGCTTGCAAAGCAAGCACTTCATCGACAGAGGTCTCTCTACAGCTCCTACTTAAAAATAAATGTCCGGCATAGTGTTGCATGCCTTTAACCCCAGCATTCGGGAGACAGAGTGCTAATATCTGTGAGTTTGAGGCCAGCCTAGTCTCCATAGAGAGTTCCAGGCTCTGTGCTACATAATGAGATCTTGTCTCAAAATAATACATACATACATACATACATACATACATACATACATACCATAGGGTCATTCTATGCAGCCCAAACTGGCCTTGGACTCTTCCTGCCTCAGGCTCCTGAGTGCTGAGATTACGGGTGTGCGTCACCATGTCTGGCCCCACTAATTGTTACATGTTTGTTAGTACTGTGATTATCGCTGGCTCTGACATACAACGTTCCCTCCACTCACCTCACCCAGCTCCATACCATCCCTTTGTCTCCTTGACAAGCATATTAGCTCTCTATCACCACCAGCGACGGGCTGCCCTTCACCTCCTATGAATTGGTGAGATGGGCAGGTCAAACCGTCTTTCCACTTGTCTGTCCAGTGCCGTGGGCGTGCGAGGCACCAGGCATCCAGCGCTTTCTAGCGCTGGCTCACTCACCTCCACCAGGAAGTCGAAGAGGCGGGCATAGAGCCCCTTGGCCAGCGCATCACGAGTGTAGGCTGCCTGCTCCACGTTGAGGGTCACATCAATGGACTCACTGCGTCCACCCCATTTGCTGTCCATCTTTCGACTGGTCAGCTTCTCCTGCAGTCGCCCACTGTCTATGCCCAGCAGGTAGGCTGGAAAGGCCAAGACTGCCAGACCAAAGCAAAAGGAGGCAGCTGGTCAGGCTCTCAGGACATAGGAGCTTCCCCAGTGACACCAACATGGCTCTCTTGGGATCAGAATGGGAAGAAGCAGTCCTAATGCATGAGCCTCACACCCAGCTCTCGACAGCACCCACACTCACGGTCTGCGCTCTCCACACGGGCATAGTTCCCTTCTTCACAGAAGCTGATGTTCCCCAGGTGCAGGATCCCTGCCACGAGCTGCAGGACAAGTTGCTGCACGCTGGCTGGAATCCCAATGACGTGCATGGCGTTCTGTGGGCACAACGGGGACAGCTTATGCCACCAGGATTGGTTTTCACTCTGACCACAGAATTAGATCTCTGGGTTCACTGCATTGGGCTCACGGCATGGACTCAGGGAGACCAGACATTTGGATGCCTGATTTTGCTTTGTGTGTGTGTTCTTCATGTGTGTTCATGTATGTGTGAAGGCCAGAGGTCAACCTTGGGGGTCCTTCCTCAGGTACCATATGCCTTGTTTTTCTCAAAAAATAGGTGAGACTGCATTTCCCCAACCACCTGGTTTGCCTTGTGCGTGTGTTGTATACATGTGTATGTGTTTGTGCATGCGTGTGTGTATGTGCATGTGTGCATGTGATGGCTGCACATGTATGTGTAAATGCAGGTACATCTGAAGGCTGGAGGTTTACATTGCGTGTATTCCTCTATTGTTCTCCAAGTTTAAAAAGAGTGTGTGTGTGTGAGAGAGAGAATTCATGTGTGTGTGTGGTGTGTGTGTGTGAGAATTCATGTGTGTGCCACAGCATTCTGGGGATCAGAAGGCAATCTGCGGCTGTCTGTTCTCATTTTTCCACTCAGTTTGAGACAGACTCATTGCTGCCGCATACGCTAGGCCAGCTGGCTCAAGAGCGCGGGACATTCTCCTATCTCACCCTCCGTTCTCTACAGGATCACTGGGATTACACACGCTTGTAATCCAAACTCAGCTCATGAGACTTGCCTTCCCAGTGCTCTTGCCTTCTGAACCTTCTTCCCAGCTCTTCACCTTATCTTTGAGAGTTTCTTACTAGTCCTGAAGCTCACTGATTTGACCAGATGAGATGGCCAGGGAACCCTGGGGATCTGCCTATTTCTGCAGTCCCAGTGCTGGGATATAAGCATGTGCTGCCATACCCACCTTTTTAATGTGGGTCCTGGGGTTTGAACTCAGGTCCTTACGCTTGTACAGCAAGCACCTTACCCACTGAGCCACCTCCTTAGCTCCATAATCTCCCTTTTTTATCCAACTGCTGTATAACCTTGGATAAGTGCCTGCATCTGTCTGTGTCTCACACAGAAGGTTCTCTGGGCCAGCCAGAGCGGTGGTTGGTGCTCACCAGGGTCTCGCTGAAGTCGCTCCGGTCATCAGTGCCTTCCACCTTGTAGGTGTCTGATTGGTTTAGGTAGTAATAGTAGTCTGGTGTCATGAGTCCCAGGTTCTGCTGCTGCTCCTGGGAGGCCCCTTCCAGAAGCTGGAGGATGTCGGAAGGTCATGCATCTCCAGCTGGCCTGGTGCAGCCATCATCGGTGCCCCACCCTCCCACACACCGCCCTTCCCATGTTGCTTTCCTCCATTCCTGGGATCCAGACGGGTCTCCCTCTGCCTCCAGCCCCACAATCTACTCCCTGCACCTGGTAGTAGATGTGGAAATTCCTCTCATTCTCATTCTGCATGACCACACGAGACTTCTCCAGCAGGAAGTTGGAGATCTTGCCTCCATCTGGTTCCCCGCCTCGGCTGAACTGGATCTCAAAGTACTTGCCCTGAATCCCAGAGAAGCACATTAGCCCATCCCAAAGTCCCTGGAGTATGGACAGAGCAAGACTTACCATCTCATGAGCCTGACCTTTCTCCTCTTCTTCTTGTGACCTGAACTTGCCTTTCTCTTGTCTCCATTCACATATGTTTAAATTGTCCTTGTGTGTGTCTGTGTATGTGTGTGTGTGTGTGTGTGTGTGATGCCGTGGTGAACATCTGAGGACAATTTGTGGGAGTTGGTTCTTTACCGTGTAGGTCCTGAGGATTGAACTTGGTGGCAGTGTCTGCTGAGCCATTTTTCTGACCACTCCTCACTTCTGACTAAGCTCTTCTTTCCCCAGTGGCTTTCCTCTAGGCCGCACAGACTGTGGGGCCGGGCATCCTAACCCGTACATCTCCCATGGTGCCCTAAACCCTGCTAACTGCACTCAGCTCTGTGCTCTCCTCAAGTCTCCCCCCACCACATTCCAGAGCTTTCTGTGTCTCTTTTGTGTGTGAATACACGGGTGTGTTGCATATGCGGGTGTGTGCATGATTGTGCGGTGAAGGCCAGAGGTGAACATCTGTATCTTTCTTGACTGCTGCCATCTTATGCATCAAGGAAAGGGCTCTTAGGCCCAGAGCTTGCTGATTTAACTAGTTTTAGCTAACCATTTTGCTTCAGATATCCCCTTCCTCCACTTCTCATGTACTGGGGATCTGAACTCTGGTCCTTACTCTCCTAAATGACATTACTCCAACCCTTCTACTTTATTTCTCTAGAGCTCACTGATTTGCCTAGACCGGATGGTCATTCTGCTTCTGGATCCTCCTGTGCCTCTTAGTGTGGGAATTACAGGTGTGCGCCAGCGTATTTAGCTTTTTTTTTTTTTTTTTTCTTTTTTTTGGTTTTTTGAGACAGGGTTTCTCTGTAGCTTTGGAGCCAGCTCTTGTTCTGGAACAAGCTCCAGCCAGTTCTGGGACCAGCTCTTGTAGACCATGCCAGCCTCAAACTCACAGAGATCCGCCTGCCTCTGCCCCCCAAGTGCTGGGATTAAAGGCGTGCGACACTACTGCCCAGAGCATATTTAGCTTTTACGTGGGTTCTGGAGATTAAGCTCAGATCTTTCTTGGGTGACTCCACATTCAGGGAGAGGCCTTGTCTCAAAATACAAGACAGGGAGAGGCCTGTGGCTGTAGTTCAGGGACAGGGAGAGGCCTGTGGCTGTAGTTCAGGAGTTAAGACAGGGAGAGGTCTGTGGCTATAGTTCAGGAGTTAAGAGCGCTGATTCTCTTTCAGAGGATCTGGGTTAATTTTTTAAAAATTTTATGGATAATTTTTTTGAAATTATTCGTTTTTATTTTATGTACATTGGTGTTTTGCCTGCAGGTATGCTTGTATGAGGCCATTAAATGCCCCGGAACAGAAGTTAGAGACAGTTGTGAGCTGCCATGTGGGTCCTGGGAATTGAACTCGGGTCCTCAGCCACCAGTGTTCTTAACCGCCGAACCCTGAGAACTTGCGTTCTATGCCCAGAACCCACATGTCTGCTCATGACTGTCTGTTACTCCAATCCTGGGATTTCAGTGCCTTCTTCTGGCTTACAAGAGCACCGTACATTTACATGTTGCATAGACATACACTCAAAACACTCATATATACAAAATAAGTATTAACAAAAAAAGTAGGTGAGGGAGACACCTAACGTCAACTGCTGGCATTCACACGCATGTGCATAAATTTGCATGTGCACATACCCATGTGTACCTAAGCATGCATGCACTCACACACAAAAAGAAGCACGGGGCTAGTGAGATGCCTCAGTGAGTAAAGTACTTGCCACACAAGTGTGCGCGTGTGTGAGCACGCATGTTTGTGCACATGCATGTGTGTACATGTGTGTGCATTGTTTGCATGCATGTGCATGTCTGTACACATGTGTGACTGTGTATCTAGAGGGAATCAGCTCAAGTGGGGTTATGGTGACTCACGAAGCGGCTGGAATTGTTGTTGCGCACTGTCTTGGCATTGCCGAAGGCCTCCAGCAGTGGGTTTGACTGGAGGATTATGTCTTTGACGTGCTAGGGTAGATAGAGCCAGGTAGAACGAGGTCAGTCTGGGTCAGACGGGTGTCACTGAGGGAGACCTGATGTACCCTTCTGTTCTTGTCTTACCTGGACCTTGTCACCCCCGCCAGACACCTTGGAGATGTAACCCATGATGTACTTAGCAGCCACTGTCTTCCCAGCTCCGCTCTCCCCACTGGAAGTGTTGGGAGGAAGGGAGAGTTAGTGGGCAGGGATAGTGGGAAGCACCTTTTCTAATGCCTAGTCATTCATTAATTCAGGAAGCACCTTCTTTTCTAATGTCTAGTCATTCATTAATTCATGCATGATTTCATTCTTTTACTGAGCACCCACAGTGCACCAGACCCTACTCTAGGTTCCAGAAATCCAACAGTGAACAAGAAAGATTTAAAAAAAAAAATCCCTGCCCCAGGGGCTGGAAAGATGGCTTAGTGACTAAACAGTACTTGTTGCTCTTGCAAATGACGTGGCTTTGCTTCTCAGCACCTACACGGGGCAACAACCACTACTGTAACTCCAGTTCTGAGCAGTTCAGCGGCCTCTTTGAGCCCGTGAGAGCAACAGGCGGAGGTGGCGCGTAGATAAGCATGCAGACAAATCATGCACACACAACATAAAAATAGTCATTTTTAAAATAAAAAATACTTTCTTCTCCCCCAACAAGGAGGGGCTGGTGAGATGGCTCAGTGCGTAGAGACACTTGCTGCTAAGCCGAGTCTCGTGGAAGAGACCTGATTCCTCTTCACACTTGCACTGTGACATGTGGCGACCCCAGTAAATATAAATAAGTAGATATAATATAAAAATTTCTTGGGCTGGGAAGACGGCTCAGGTCCCGCCGTCAAGTTTGAAGACCCGAGTTCAGTCCCTCAGATGGTGAAAGGAGAGAACTGACTCTGGGAAGTTGTCTTCTGACTTCTACGTGCATACTTGACATGCATGGACCCACACACATACACACAAAATAATGAATAAAATTTAAAAATTCCCGCCCCCACACTTCTTTATGTGTCTGTGTATGTGCTATGAGCGTGCTCTATATGTTTGTGGTATAAGTATATGTGCACAGCCTGAATGGAGGACGTCTGGTACCCTGCCCCATCATTCTCTGCCTTATTACCTTGAGACAGGGTCTCTCACTGAATCTGGAGCTAGGCATGTGGCCTGAAAAGCCCAGCAACCTGTCTGTTTCAATATCTCCCAGTGCTGGAGTTACAGGTGTGTGTCCACGCCTGGCTTTTTATGTAAGTTCTGGGAATTTGACCCCAGGGGTCTCATCCTTGAGTAGCAAACATTCCTACCTACTGAGCCATCTCCTCAGTCTGGGAGCTGATATTTAGGAGGAACCAATGGGCAATAATAAAATGAACAGATACACTGTATTAGGAGCCATATCGGTAGCCAAGGGATATACAGAAAGGAGGGCAGAGCAATAGGGATAAAGGTCCATCACCATCATGGCAGACCACCCTTGGTGGTGGGGATGGAGGACATGCCTGGACAGAACGTTCCCCATCCTACCTGATAATGACACACTGGTTCTCACAGTCGATCAGCATATTCCGGTACATGTTGTCGGTGAGGGCGTAGATATGGGGGGGATTCTCATACTGGGCCTGGTGGGGGTGGTCAGCTGTCAGTCCAGAGCTGGATGCCTCAGAGGATAAGTGTGGGCATACTTCTGCCCATCCAACCTGGACTTACCGCACCCTGGTAGAGGTCAATTTCTCGGTCAGTGAAGTAGGGCATTTGCTTGAAGGGGTTTACAGAGATAAGCACGGAGCCGATATATGTCTTGAGAGGTAGTTAAGAACCATGCAGTGTCTTGCTTTACCTTTCGAATATTTTTTTTCCTTAGTCTATTCCAACAAGACTTTCCAGAACCACTGTGCTTGGAGAGAGAGGTGAGATACTTGAATGTACTTGAGTCTCTTAGGAAAAGAAAGCTGGATGCAGAAAGAGGGGAATTGGTGGCACAGTACTTCAGCTGCTCCAAGGCAGAGGTGCAGCAGCAGTTAGGGCATCTCAAAGCACAGCACTCTTGTTACGTGATCTGTCCTTCAATCTGCCCGTCTTTCCCCATTTATTCATCCTCCCTCAACCCTGAGCTGGACTTCCATCTGCCCCCTGCACTACTGCCATCCTTTGGCAGCCTTCCCTGTCCCAGGACGCCATCCCGACTCCCATTGCCCACACCCTTCCTCCCGCGCCAGGCACTGCTGAGGATACGAAGATGTAGTCGTCCATGAAGCGCTTGCGCAGATTGCTCACAATGGCGTCCTCCGTGATCTGGGGCAGCAGCACCATGTCGTCCACTCCGCTCTGCTTCACATTGTGACTCTGCCAGTGAAAACGCTCCTTGCTGCCCTGTGGATGGGGTGGAAGACTGGAGGGTGAGCCCTTTCAGGGGAGCACGGTCGGCGTATCTGGCTTACCTCCACCACAGCTTCGGACTCGCCCTTCCTCAGATACCCCTGCCATGGCTAGGTTTTTGGTTGTGGTTTATTTGTTTTTGTTTTTGAGACAGCATTTCTCTGTGTAGTCACTGCTGCCCTGGAACCCGCTCTGTAGACTAGGCTGGTCTTGAATTTACAGAGATCAGCCTGAATGGCTAGTTTTAATTGTCAGCTTGACACAATGTAGAATCACCTGTTAAGAGTCTCAATGAGGGACTGTCTAGGTCAGTTTGGCCGGTGCCGTGTCTGAGGGAGATTCTCTTGATTACATTAATAAAAGTGGGAAGACCTGTTTGCTGCCCAGCCCTTCCTTCACTGGGGGATTCTAGGCTCATATCATACCAGTCTTGCAGAGGATTGGATACAAATAATCTCTCTCTCTCTCTCTCTCTCTCTCTCTCTCTCTCTCCAGCCCTGGCTAGCCCAGAACTCACTGTATAAACCAGGTTAGCCTCTAACTCGTGGAGATTGCCTGCTTCTACCTCCTGAGTGATGGGACTAAAGGTGTGTGCCACCACGTTGGGTTCTCTATGCTCTTGACCGTGGATGTGGTCAAACTAGTTGCTTCAGGTTTCTGCCTTGACTTCCCCATGTGGCCTGGAACTGTGAGCCAGTGAAACTCTTCGTCCATTAAAGTTGCTTTTGTCAGGATATTTGATTACAGAAACAAAAAAATAAAAGATGACAACCCTGTTTCTTCCTCACGCCACTACAGGCTCCCTGTCCAAAGCAACATGCATCCCCGGGTCTTCTCGTGGCCCTCTCTCCACCCATGCATTCCACCCATGCATTTCCACCCATGCATCCCCGGGTCTTCTCGTGGCCCTCTCTCCACCCATGCCCTCACTGCTTGCTCTCCTGCTTTCCTGCCACAGAGAACAGAGTCATCTCCTTGCCCCTTGCCGTGCCGTCCCCACCATGAACTCCCTGGAAGCCGTATGTCAAAACCAACCCCTCCTCATTTACGTTGTTTCTGGAAGGAGGGTATGTCACAGTGCTGTGAAGGTAGCTCACACGTGTGACAGATTTGGCCCCACGTCTCTGTGTTAGAGAACCTGTCCATGGCTCCCGTCACTGTCCTATTCCTCCAGGCTATAAATAATTGGTTTGCTTTGAGACAGACTCTTGTAGATCACACTGGCCTTGAACTCACTATGTAGCATGACCCTTCTGCCTCTCTCTGCTCTTGACTGAGGATGTGATGTGACTTCCTGGGTTTTTGGTTGATAGGTGTGTGCTGTTGGGAGCATAGCACAAAGGTCCTTGTGCCCACAGATCTCCAAGGAGACCAGGAATGCTAAGCACACATGATTGTCTTTCCAGTGGGAAAGGTGAAATACCTGTTCTTCCATCCAGAAAGCTGGGAATTAGAAGTGATTAAGAGGCTGGTGATCTGTGTTGGGCCAGGCCTCATCAAGCTCCTACAACCGGGACCAGAGGTGCCTAGAAATCTGAATGACCCTTATAGGCAGGGGCTCCCCCCCAAGCTCCCACAACCAGGAACAGAAGTGGCTAACAGTCCAAATGACCTCTGTGCTATCTGTCTGACCAAGACCAGGCCAGAGCCTTCTCTATGCCCTCAAGCAAGCAGTCTATCTCTAGACTCCATCGTCTTGGAAGAAATGCCATGTACTGGGTCAAGTTTCACTGTAATTACGCTTCCTTGTGCAACAGGGATTGCATTACACCAGGAAACGGTTTTTCCCAAATTGTACTGTTTTTTAAATAAGACGATGATGATAAGCCTGTCATAGACTCTTTAGAAGTCTTGATCCAGGCTGATGAAGTCAGTTGGAATCGAGTCTTCACACTCGTCTCTTCAAGGTTTGCTTCTTTGCCAGACACATGCAGAGACCCCATCAGTTGTTCACCAAGCACAATTTATAAAGCGCTGGAGAGCAAACCCAGCAATCTGGGCTTGTAGGCAGGAACTCTTGTAGGTGAGTCACATCCTCAGCTCCCAGCGGGACAGGCATGGTAGCATGCTGTTGATCCCAGTACTTAGGAGGGGAAGTTGGGAGACCTTCCACGAGTTTCAGATCAACTGGGATATGCATCAAGACCCTGTTTCTAAAATAGGCTGTCAGTATTGCTCAGTGGGTAAAGGTGCTTGCTACTGAGCCAGATGACTTGAATTCAAGCCCTGGGTGGAAGGACCCATGTGGTGGAAGGAGAGGACCAACTCCTGGTTCTCTGGCCTCCACACGTGTGTTACCACAGGTGCAAACTCTGTCAATCAATCAATCAACCAATCAATCAGTCGGTATACTTAAAAAATTAAATATATATGTAGTATATACATACAGTATATGTTTTAGAATGTGTAGATGTAGTACAGATTATGAGCTACAGCCATGAACAGTGCTCTCAAGTTCACAGCCTGAACAGTGAGGGATGAATCCTTGGCTTTGACAGTTCAGTCCTTTGGGGTGTGGTCCTGGCTAAACTCACACTACCCAATTCATCCACATTCAGATGAGCCCTCACACCCATAGACCATGCTTGCAGGACCCTGACATCTTCCTGCCTCTACCTCGAGTGTTGAGATAACACGAGTGCACCACCCCACGTGGTGTACGCAGTACTGGGGAGCTCCAGGGCTGGAGGAACGGCTTAGCAGTCAAGAGCATCTGCTGCTCCTGCAGAGGACCTGACTTCAGTCCCCAGAACCCACATGGTGGTCTCTAGCTGTCTGTAACCCCAAACTCCCAAGCTCGGAGGGTCCAGTGACGTCTTCTGGCTTTCACACAGTGCACAGACATACATGATGGCAAAACATATACACCTTTAAAATTAAAATAATGATTCAAAGAGTAAAAAGAACGGATGTGACATTAGAATCTAGCTGCTCCACAAGGCACGGCCTTCTGCTGTCACAGATGCCAGCACGCACCCTCCTGAGACACTTGAGCCCTTAGCCAGTAGAAGCCAGGTACTAGGGCTTCTCACCGGAGGAAATGAGTTTACGTCAAAGATCCCAGTTACACGCGTGCTCCACCCCTTTCCCCGCCTCCTGGCTGAGAATCAGAGAACCTAGCTGGAGGCTTGTGCTGTGAAACTTCCTCTATGCTCAGAAGCGGATGACTGGGACTCCCGCTTGTGCCATGGGACCTTAGTTTTCTCTCTTTAGAGACCTTGCCATGGTGTCCGTCTCTGGTACTGGGGCCTGAACTCTTAGAGCCTGGGCTACACTGCTGCCGCTCTGCCTGTCTGTCCATGGAGTCAATACGGTTTCAGTTTGTTTGTTTGTTTACAGTTATCATGTATATTTATTTTAAATGCCATCTATTTTTTTTTCTTTTTAATTTTTGAGACAGGGTTTCTTTGTGTAGCTTTGGAGCCTGTCTGAAACTCGCTCTGTAGACCAGGCTGGCCTTGAACTCACAGAGATCCACCTGCCTCTGCCTCCCAAGTGCTGGGATTAAAGGTGTGCGCCACCACTGCCCAGCATTCGTTTTGTTTTTCTGAGACAGGGTTTCTCTGCGTAACAGTTTTGACTGTCCTAGAACTCGCTCTGTAGGCCAGGCTGGCCTCTAACTCACAGAGATCCACCTGCCTCTGCGTCCTGAGTGCCGGGATTAAATGTTTGCACCACTATTGTCTGGTTACATTAAAAACTTTTAATAAACACCTTATTCCCCGACAATCTGTCTTTGTATCCCTCCGAGCCTGCGTTTGAGACCTTTGTGCACATCTGGTGGCTTCACCGCATTTTGGGGCCACTGTGTGAGCACTTTCATTATTTTCAGATAAAAATGTGAGCAGGCACATTTTTAGTATCCATAACTTCCCCCCTGCATTACAGAGGATCACGTAATTCCTTTTCCTTCCTTCCATCCTTTCCTTCCCCTTCTTTCTTTCTTGCTGAAATGGGATGAAACCCAGGGCCTCGCACATGCTAAGCAGGCATTCTACCCCTGAGCTCCTCTCTGGAGGATTCTGGGTGGGCGTTCCACCCGTGAGCCCTGCCTCCAGCCCCTCACCGGGGGAGTCTAGGTAGGAGGGCACACCTCTGAGCCACATTACCCTTTACTAGACTAGAGGATTATAGTGTCATCAGCCTTGCCCCCAGCCCTCCTTATTGGGGTTTATGTTTGTCTTACAAGCACAGGATCCTGAGTTCTTCCCTGGCACTGTAAAAAAGAGAATTCCAGGTTTTATACAAGATCTCTACTTGAAGGAGACAGGGCAAGGGGAGGAGCAGCTCATGGAATGCAACAGGGTGCAGCTGTTAAAGGTGATGTGCCTGGAGAGGTTAAGACAGGGCTGCCTGGGAGGTGGCCCAGGTGGGATGTGTTGGGAGCTGCAAGGAACTTTGGGCTACTGAAACTTGACCGCACACTGAGAATGGCCCCAGGGAGGGCACTGTCAAGATCCTGGAGTCATAGTGGGAAGTGTGGAAGGCTGGTGAGGACCCACCATCACCCATCTGCCTGAGAAGAGGAAGAACAGAGGCTGGGAAGAAAGGTCGAGTCACAGCAGACAGTGCTTCCTGTTTGCAAGATGGGAACAGCAGAAGTGTTGGTGAGGACAGATCATGAAAATTAGGGGTGGAGTCATTCATAGGTTATTTGCCATTCTCTGTGTTGATGGTTGGGTGGGGTATGGACAGGCAGGCTGGGTAAGTGGCTGACAACACAGGGAGTGGGTTCTAGCTCTGCAGAGTGCCAGGGAAGGGCTCATGTTTGGTGACCACAGCACACAGCAAATGGTTAGCTTTCTGGCATTCATTTACTGCCCAGGGTAAGGCTCCTGTTTGGGTGCAGGGTCTGTCTCAGAAGTCTCAAGTGGACTGGAACTGTTATGTAGCCCAGGCTGGTCTTGAACTACTGACCACTCTGCGTCAACATCCTGAGTGCCATCATTTTTAACTAACTTTCAGTGCCAGAAATGGAATCTCAAGAACTACAT